AATAGTGCGATAATTTGGCTTTATCCGCTTGATCCAATAGTCATATAAACATATATTCGTGTGCTTTGAAAATTTAAATTTTTTGTAAGTGGAGTCCTTCGCATTGTTTTGCCTCAAAGCGATTATATTCGCGAATATTAAGTCGTGACTAAAACGGTGCGCTTAGTATGAACATCGTTTTGTCGGCTCACTTGATACCTGCCGGACTGGTGAGGCCAAATTTAATATTGTGACAAAATTAAAAAGCAATTAAAACAGTACAAGGGTATGGAGTCCTCGACAGGCAGAGAAATAGCAATCATCCTGCCCTTTCTTGAACGAGGCCGTAAACCTACACTTGAAATCCTGTCTCATTATTTTGGAAATCAAAACAGGAGCCACGTGACAACAATGGATGACTCGAAAACTTAAAGGGTGACTTGCGTTTCTAAATGCCGACTGCCAATACCTGTGGTGTCTGTGAGGTGCTTCCGCATTTGCTGAGTTAAGATTTAGTTTACGGTTTTTAAATTTGCTTACAAAATGGTCGCCGACTTGGCGTAAATTAGTCAGAATTAAGTTTTATAGGCTCCGCCAGAGACTTACCATGAATATTTATGCCGAAATTAATCAGCTGTTCGGGGATAACCACATACTATTCTTAAATACCAGACAGGCAACCAGCTGCATACACATGCTGTGGGCTTTCCGTAATGACAGCACAGGTATTGACTAAAAGACCAGACACGTGTTTTGCCAGTATTCTGCCGCTGCATGACACGCCTGTGAGGGGCTCGGCCCAACAGTGGGTCCTTCAGCATTCCTCGTATGCTTTTTAGTAAATACTTTAGTTTTAAAATATACATTTCTTAATTAACTTAGAAAGTAGTCGCCAATTTAGAGTAGATCCGTTTAAATTAAGCTTCATATGTTTGATTTGAGGCTAAATTTCGATTAAATTACTCCAAATTAGTGATTAATTTCAGATAATGAAACAACGGAATTTCGAAACTTGATTAACTATCAGAGAACAAACGGGGGACGCTAAGAGACCCGCTTGCCAGCCCAACTCTTTCCAGCTATGTCACGCAGTGGCAGAATATCGGTGAAACAGGTGACCGAGCTAGTGCCTGTACTATCAGTACGGGTTAACATAAAACAGTGTCTGAAGTAGGCAAGAAGGGCAGGATTTATTGGTACCAAAAAATTTCGCGACAGCTCTTCAGCGTCAGAAACTCGTCTGCCACCGTAAACACTAGGAGACGCATTAAAATTGTGTACAAAAAACGTTCAATTTCTCTTTAATGGCCAATTATATAGACAAATTGACGGAGTGGCAATGGGGAGTCCCCTTGGCCCTACCTTTGCTGACATCTTTATGGGTCATCTAGAAGAAAAAGTGTCCGCCAAATTGAATAAGCTGCCACTCTACAAAAGATACGTGAATGATGTTTTCGCTATTGCTAAGGACATTAAGGAGGCTGAAGAACTGCTTTCTATTATGAATAAGCTGCATCCAAAGATCAAATTTACAATGGAGAAGGAACAAGACAACCAACTATCCCTTCTGGATGTTCTTCTGTTTAGAAAGGAAGATGGTTCTATAAGACGTTCCGTCTTCCATAAGAATACTTGGAAGGGACACTACTTGCATTTTTTGAGTTTTGTACCTATCCAATGGAAACGTAACTTGGTATACGCTCTTTTCCAAAGGGCTAGGAACATTTGCTCCAATGACACACTGGATGCAGAATTTGCACGCCTCAAAGAAGCTCTACTTAAGCGAGGATATCCCGCAAGGTTCATCCACAAATACAGCAACTCTACACGGCCAAAATTGACAGAACATTTAACTCCGAAAAAGCCCGTCTTTATATCGTTGCACTTTAAGAGCGACAATATTTTAAATACTATCAAACGACGGCTACGTTCCGCCATTGAAAGGACATACAATGCAGCCGAACTAGTATTATGCAGTCCTACTAAGCCACTTCCGATTCCACGGGCAAAGGATGCCCTGCCAATGCACACCACTTCAAAATATGTTTATGAATTCACATGCACTTGCGGATGCAAGTACATTGGGCGAACGCAAAGGCAGTTGGCAGCCAGGTCTATTGAGCACCTGCCCAAGTGGCTCCTAAGACAAGAAAATAAGATCCTGCGTTCCTCCATTACGAAACACCTACTTGATACTGGTCACTCCGTCGGCCCCAAAACTTCCTTCCGAGTACTTGTTCAGGCACGAGCAACTCGGACATTGCGTTACCTGGAGGCGGCCTATATACGACGAGTGAAACCAGACCTTTTTAAACAATTGGAACACGTGGTTAACCTAACATTGCCATGGTAGCCTCTAGCTCCATGATTGCCCCTCTCCTCTCATTTTTGCTCTTTAACGTTTCCCCCTTTTTTCACTTTCTTCCCCTACGGTGTTTGTCTACTAGTTTTATCGATTAGCCAGCTTTGCCCAAAACCCTGACCTTACTGTTTCTGCATTGCTTTTCTGCACGAATTCAAATCTGTTGTATTCTTCTCACTCGTTATCTCTCTTATGAAGCGACAGGACGCAGCTGAAGAGCTGTCGCGAAATTTTTGGTACCAATAAATCCTGCCCTTTTTGCCTACTTCAGCTTCGAACCGGGGACAAAATGCTTCAAATTTATAAAACAGTCTGTTTTCGCGTAGTGCATCTATAATGCACTTACTGTCAGGTTCTAGAAAATGCTTAAAGACAAAATCCCACAGTCCAGACATGTAAAGTGTTCGTAGAAGCAGTCATTGTTGTTCTTCGAATAGCATTTCAAGACTTTCATTTTGTCACACACACAACGTCAAATGTCTTTAAGGTTTCCGAAATTCTGGTAGTGTTTTGGACACAATCCAACGATCCAGTCTCTGATCCGTACTAAATGTCTAATTCAGAATAATTTTACAGAGGAGCAAACGGCCAAATTCCACCTCCAGACATTAGAATCAAGTGGTGAAAGTTTGGTTGGTCGGAATGAGGCCAGTCTGTCTCGTGGGCTGGCCAGTTGTCAGTAGGCTCCCACTCTTGCTAATTAAATGGACGCCAACTCTGGTAAATACGGATGAACGCTAGTGAAAACGTAAGCATTCATGGCCGATCGAAAAGGCAGGCAGATAATTCGTAAGCGCCACAAATTTAAACATAAATTCTAGCGTTGGGCTTTTAATCTTCCTAACATTAAACTATACATGGTCCATTGAGGAAACAATGCGATTATTCTACCGAGACCGATGCATGTCAGTCCAAATACTTCTGCAAACGTCCAGGCTGTACCCAAGAGTACTACTGTCCGATAACTTGCTTCAAGGTTGCAAATCCATCTCCGAGAATACAAAAGCACTTTAAGTACAAAAAAGGATTTGATGAGAGCTGTGAGGCCCGCTAATCGACCGAATTCTTTGCATATGCGTCATGCGGGGTAATAAAAATACGGAAAAAATGCACGATTTTTGATTAGTAAACATTTTGTTCGCCGACAAATCAAATAGCAGTAACACATTACAACAAACAAATTTAATGGTAAGTTATATCGTTACTATTACTAAACAGAAATTGCCCGATAGGTTGAATTCTTGATATGCTGGAGGTCAGACATAAAACAAGGTTGTGGGGTGCTGAATGGACAAAAAATAACCATTCTTCGACGATTTAATAAGCAATCATGACGCACCGGTGAGAAAAGTTTATTTTTGCGAAGACTCTCAACATCTCAGAAAATAAAAATGCCAACTTGTGAAATTATAACTAGAGTCCGAATTTGAAAATTAAATTTGCGAATACATTTGCCTACTTCCCAGTGAAAACCAAAAATGTTAATCCCACGCCTTTGATAGCCTGAAAACTTACAAAGGTAAGCTAGTGAGAATCCTGAATTTGTTCAAGGCGGTTTGGTACTTGAGGTGATTAAGACAAAATTTACCCAGTTAGGTGTGATATGGCTTTGACAAATGCAGGTATACAGGTATACGAAAATTTTATAAAGTTGTCTTTCGAAGGCAACACCCAAGTCAACTGGTGAGATACAGTCGCCTAGGATATTCTTAGACGTCTTGCTTCCCATAAGGATGCTGTTTAAAAAAATCAAACAGAAAGGCTAAATAAAACATCTTCCAGAACAAACTCCGGCAACCGAACTTGCAAATAACTTTGACAAAAATTCTAAGTAATTTATGAGCGATGGGTGCCTTAGCTGGAAACCAAAGGTGCAAAATCTTGATCGCCAGTACGAAAACGTTTCTTTGATAAAACACTGGATCGTAAACCAAATTATCTATTTTGGAGCAGTCTCTGTCTTCTTATCCCCTTTAAAACGAGTTTGTTGGCACTTGACCGGGATCTGCAGTCAGTCCACAAGAAGACTAAAACAACTATGAGAACTTTTAAAATCCAAAGTAGTTCAAAGATAAAACATAATGAATATGTCTTTGTGTAAACTACATATATTTCTGCCCACCAAATTTAGCACAAAAATTTTATTCAAATAAAGGTTTATTTCGAAGGGACGAAACATTGAAAGACTCTGAATAAAACGCAGCTTGGAAATCACTTCTTGTGAATTCATGCTGAGCTTCACACCGAAAGCGGCTGATGCTTAATTGAATTTGCAAGGCAGCACGCACCGGCAACTGCCAAAAACTGGAGCAAGCCCAACACAATTACTACCACGGGAAGCACGAAAATGAATTTTTGAAATTCTCTGGAGAGCTCCTGTGCACAGCCCTGAAAGAAAAAAATAATCCGTATGCTCATGCGCAACAGACGCATTCGTCAAATTATTCAGACAAGAATATGAACTAAATATTTTTCATTGGGAAAATTGTCAAAGATTCAATTGGTCACATGCTTGAAGGGTTACGTATAATAATGTCCATTTGAACTCACGGTTCTATAATGTTCCAACTCGCATGTTTGTGGGATTTTTTGATTAACCTTCCTGTAATCAGATGCATTGTTTGCACCGCAGCAGTCCAGCTATGCGGCAAGGTTACTGTTACGCTAAAGGACTTACCTCCTCTTCCATCATACCAAAAGCCGACATGATCGTTGGGTCATTGAATTGTTTGTAGAAGGATGTGTTAACCATGCTTTGGACGGCAGCACCCAGCTATAATTGCACGTTACGATGCAGGAAAGCTGCTTACCTCCGTCTTTTTGGTCAGTGTAACCACACAGAGGGCAATTTCAACAATGACTAGAAGGGCTAGTAAAAGTGAATACTACTGGATGAGAGATATTATAAGCATTTACTATATTGAGCATTCCGCGGCTCTCTCGTAACGCTCCACAACATCCAAGAATACCGCACAAACATATAAATAGCCCGACAACTAACGCGACAATTGGAATTGCAGCAGAAATTTCAATAAGTGTTCCATAACTGTTTTTCAAGAAGAATGTTGCCACCGATCCAATAATTACGACGGCTAAACCAAAAACCTAAACAAAAGCAAACAGGTAGAAAAGTTATGCATATTGAACTCAAGCACCACTAGTGTGAATGTTCTCATGTTCGGTTTAAAGTGATGCCTTTTACATGGTGATCACCTCGCGCGGAAATTGTGTACCAACTTGGATGCATGTGCATCCAGATTTGGATTTAAATTACGACTGGTATGAAACGTTATTTCATTTACAAAAGGACATCACGGTCATGAGGAATTTAACTCGACGTACAAATACGACAATGCTAAAGGCAAAAGTTGCCCATCTCAAGACTTGCGCGCCGCATGACAGACCCATTGTCTGTTTGGTTGCAAAGGCGTTCAACCTACTTCGAATAATCGGCAATGTTCTTTTTTATATATTCGCTAAGACGGATCGAAGTTAATAATATAAACAAGGTTGGTTCAAGTTTTGCTCGCGGCGTCAGTTATCCGGATTGATTTAGAATTTAGAATTATGCCCTAATTTTGTTTTTAAGTCAGCATGACGAGCCAATTACAGCTGGTAACTTAATCCCTCGGAAAGCCGCTGTATCGTCTTTGCTACTTCCTGATGCAATATGGCCTTTCAGTCCAGAAGCTAAAATAGTAGTATGCAGACCGTCCTGGGGCTTCAGCTGGGAGACTGGTTCCTGACTTACGTCGACTCGCTCGATAGAAGGAGATGGGGATGGGGCCGCTTTCACCTTTCCTGAACGGTTGGTCTTAGATTTTGGTATCAGGCGACCAGACAACGTCTCAACGTACAGATGTCATTCAAACAGTCAAACAAGATGTAACAGGTAAACGATATATTGGGATAAGGGGGAGATATGAAAACGGGAGAACATGGAGGTTCAGAGGCGCGGAAAGTTCCAGGGGGTAAAGGGGGGACGAGGAAACTCTTGCTGGTCAGTGAGTTGATTTCGTAGGTACGATATCCACGGGATTTTGGGTGTTTCTTTGCTCACGTTCGCTGTCCTCACCTGAAACACCAGAAAGGAGACGCACTCAAACCACGGCACGAAACCTCCCGTCTCCTTTTTTCCCGCTCGCCCGTTTTTCTCTCTCTTTTAAACAAACTTGCCTTTCCGGTTCTTACCCTGCCAGCACTTGGCCCCCTCTTGAAAGGGGGCCAAGAAGGGGCTATGAGGGGGCCAGCCCCCTCGTAGTTTTCTCGTCGGTAATGCACTATTAACAGGCATTAGTCCGTGAATAGGCGTGCATTTTTCGGTTTAAAATTGTTTTTTGAATAGTAAAATGTACATTTGGACCTCGGAAGTTGTGCTTTTTACATATCTTGGCAATCCTGATATGAAGCTCTTAATTGTTTAAGTGTGTCACTTTGCGGCACTTATCTCTCACGTGAGCTGCGTTCCTCTCGTTGTGAGTTCTAATACCGTCTACGTTGGTGTACGTGCATACGTTACTGTGGTATGTTACGAACTGTCATTTTGCTGTCTTTTAAGATATTTTGTTACTTTTGACCTGTAAATTTGTATTATCATTGAATATTTGCCTGTTGATTTAAGCAATATCAATGAGATATCCGTTCTAGCAGAGTCATCTGAAAAGCTGCACTTTGAGCCTTTGTTTATCATTTTTGTCATTGACATTAAGTATAAATGAAGCGTAAGTATTTTGGAATCAACCGGAGCACTGTCTATAAGCGAATCCAGCGCCTAAAGAGGGCCTACTATGCCGCAACGGAGGCTGCCCAACCGGTTAATGTTCCATCGGCGTCTACTTTGCCAAGCGACTTTCCTGAATTAGAAATGCCAGAATTAACGGCTGAGGGTTACACTGGTAGGTTTTTCCATCGATGTAGAATATTAGTGGGTGTAGATTTTGCAGGCAGCCAAGTGCATGTGACGGAAAATGTGGGAAAATCTTTTCTGTCCGATTTACAAGAACTATGTTTGAAAACACGAATGCCTCTCTCTATGATGAAGGCTTTATTCGATATGCTGCGGCCCTACCACCCAGAAGTCCCGAAGAACCCGCGAACGCTCCTGAAGACTCCCAGGAGTTGTAACAACAAGGTCCTCAGCAACGGGAACTATGTCCATCTGGGCATTGAGCGAGCTTTTCTGGATGAGGTAAACCGTCGTCAAACGACTGAAATTCCTGAAATGCGCATCCATTTGCATATTGATGGGATGAAGTTGTTTAAAGGATCGGGTCAATGCCTTTGGCCAATACTAGCGCGAATTAGTCACCCTGTTATTGGTGATCCCTTCGTCGTTGGTGTATTTTCCGGCTTCGGCAAACCCGAACCAGTCGACGAGTTTCTTCATGACTGTGTTTGCGAACTGAAAGGACTTCTAGATGGTGGCCTGCGACTCCCAGGTACAGGGGCTATTGTAAAAGTGGAGCTAGCCAATATAATTTGCGATGCCCCTGCCCGCTCCTACATCCGCCAAGTCAAGGCACATAACGGATACTATGGATGCGATAGGTAGGTTTGTCCATCTAGCTAACCTAAACCACTCTAGGTGCTGTCATGTAGGAATTCCCATAGCTAACCGGATGACATTTCCGCCATATAGTGGGCGTCCTCGCGACGATATGTCATTCCGGTTGCGAAAGCAGGCCATGCACCATCGGGGCATATCACCATTCGAGGAGTTATCCATCGATATGGTTGCCTGCTTTCCCATGGACTACATGCACCTGGTATGCCTGGGAGTAATGCGTAAATTGCTGCACATGTGGCGCCTCGGGGTGAAGAAGTTTTCTGCGGCGCTCAATGCGCGGATTAAACAGTGCAGCAATTGTCTACCGGCAGAATTTGCTCGGAAGTGCCGCACTCTGGATTGTCTGGAGTATTGGAAGGCGGCCGAATTCCGGCAATTTCTCCTTTACATCGGGCCGGCAGTTTTAAATTCATTTCTTGACCAGGAGCGGTATCAGCACTTCCTGAAATTGTCTGTTGCCATGTATATATTTTCTCATCCCCGGTTACACATTACGTGCATTGACTTTGCACGCATCCTTTTAAATGGCTTCGTAGAAGACTTTGGCAAGCTGTACAATCCAGCTGACCTGGTTTACAACGTGCATTGTCTGGTACACCTTCACGAAGATGTATCGCGGTTCGGAGTGTTAGACAACTTCTCGGCTTTTCGCTTCGAGTCGTTTCTGCAAAACGTCCGCAGTTACATTAAAGGACCGACAAACGTAGCCGCGCAGGTGTACAGGCGCATTAGTGAAAGGCGCCTGCCTGAGTTGTCCACAGGTCCCACGCTGTTGGACTACGATGAGGGAGTTCCACGGTCTTTGCAGTTGCCCCGCAGCTCTAAGGCCATATTACACAACGGGTATCTTTTGTCGACCCAATCTCCTGACAATGTGGTACTTGTCGGCGATAGGCCGTGCGTACTGACATCTGTGTCGGCTACAGGCATAGTTTACCGCCAGTTTGTTGATTGCCAAGACTGCCTGGATCCTGCATTCCCTTCCTCAAATTTACTAATTTTTAAGGCCTCCCTTTTGGACAGCAAACTTTCGAATGCTTCTCTTGATGACATTATTTGTAAATAGGTTGCGCTACACCTGGACGGTTGTTTTTACCTTATTCCCATGTTGCATACTTTTTGATTTTTGATCTCCCACTTTTTCCGTTTTGCATCTCATAGACATTTTTCGATTTTACATTTTGTGGACACTGCTTAAAGATGTATGCGGTTGTTGAGTTTGTGAATGATAAATCTGTGGCGGCCGTGCCGAAGTGTTGGTTCCACAGCGAAGACTGTGTGATGTGGGTTAAGAACCACAAGCTACGTGACCGTCTACTTGTGAATAACGAAAGGCCTCCAGAAGGCACAAAGATTTACCCGGTCCGTGTGCTGAAGAATGACCTCTCACTCGACAAACACTTCAGCTGGAAAAAAAGGCTGTAGACACTGACGATCTTTCCCACTCAGAGCCTACCGAATTAGGCCGAGGGATGAGGAAAAGGTAAGTGTTTGCTTTTCATTAATTTATCTTTGTAGATTTGTCCGCCAGCTCACCTCAGACGACGACGACGAGGATGATGATGATGAAGAAATGGCTGCGCAGAGACCAAAACAAGATAATCAATTAACTGCCTGGCCCACGCCGCCACGCATTCTCCAGTAAGAATCGGTGTATATTATGCCAACTTTTAGACCACGCAATAACTCGGAAAATACACCTTGGTGGAGAGACTCCAGCCAACCTACGCCACCAAGGACTAATCAGTACGCCGTTTCTTTTAAAGTTTACTTAAGGCCGCCTCGGGAACCCAGCACGACCGCGTTTGACAAACGGTTATCACAGGTGCAGCACGATGGTGAATGCGTCCGGTAAGACTGTTCTGACTCTTGATGACATGCGAGTAGAAAGAAAGTTGATTACGTTGCTGAGGAACTCGTTGAACTACGGCCTGACATAACGCAGGTTAAGGCTACAATGGCCGAAATTTTAAAGGCCGTTCAGGAATTACGTCTGCCTGCTGAAGCGAGACCTCCTTCACTGAAGTTGCCTCTGTGTACGAAGGAGGCTTACAAGGCTTTCGTCAGTGAGCTTGAGAAGAATGCTAGTTTCGCTCAAGACGCGGTATGTACATATACTGACACTTCTTTATTTGAATGGATTGTAGATTAAACGTCTGGCGATTACAGACGGGCGAAACGAGAAATAGTTTGTCAGAAATCTACTGACCACTCTACTCGGCCACCCCCTATGCCTCAGTTTCTGCTGGGGCGGAGCAAGAGATAAGCAGGCCTTCGTCGGCAGCCCCCTTTATGGCCTTGTTATTGGTAGGATATTTATTTTTAAGATTACTTGTTCAGCTGCAATTCGTGAACACGCCGCCTTCTCAAATTGCACCGTTGACACAATTCGCAAGAGTACAATTGATTGGTTCCACGGCGCGCGTGACAGATACGGTGGCCGATCAAAGCGGAGAGACAATACCACTGCAAATGCCACGGTAAATTAATTGACTTCAGTCTTTATAAGCCACTTTCAGCTTCCCGTCAGCTACAGCTCAGCCGAAGAATATGTGATACAATCTACTTCCGAGGACACTGTAAGTGAGCGTTTCTTTATATCTATTAAACCTGCATTTATTCGAGCCTATCAACTTCAAACTACTTAGATCATAAAATATACTACTAAAATGCCTTTTTTCAATAGTATGTTTTTGACAATTTAATTAATAGGACGCTGTGCTTTATTTTATTGTAGATACCCGCCACCGACATGGACGGATTACCAAATATGTCCCTTGAGGAAACATGACTATTTGTACGTATCAAATTTTCATCTTTATCGATCAATAAATTTTCTTTAACCAATAAATGCCGTTCAAGTGTGCTGATGGATATGGTTCGTTGGGGGGGTTTGCAATCACGCGTGAAGGTCCGCTAACGGTCGCGAGAGATATTGGCTTTGGGAAGGCGAGCCGGAATGAAACATAACATATTTGGCGAAATGGGGTTCGCTAGAAGGTAACAAGGGATAAAATAGGACAGATACCGGGGAAAATCTGTCTAGGAAAAGGGTGATCAGGATTATAACGCGAGTAATTAGACGTTAATGGATCGGTATCACGGTCAGACAGTCGAATATGGCCATGGGTGGTGGCAAAAAACGATAACTATAAGGCGTCCCCCTGCGCATTTTTTTTGTCGATGAGGGGGCCAGAGGGGGCCACATCGGGGACTTGCCCCGCCATAGCCCCCTCTCCAGCCCATTCATAGCCCCCTCTGGCCCCGCCATAGCCCCCTCATGAGGCGGGACCATGAGGGGGCCAGAGGGCGCTGGTGCTGGCAGGGTACATACCCCCTTCCTCAGCTGGAGCGCTGTCCGCAGGGCTGTCTGGTTGGGTCATGTCCACTGTTTCTTCAACCACTGGGGTGGGCACTAAATGTGGGGGAATGATGGGGGTTACGTCCGCGGTGGCGGTGGGTAGTCGTCCTCTGTAAGGTTTTAGCTTGTCAAAATGGGTGGTATAGGTGGGTCCATCGGGGCGTGAAGCATCACGCAATACATACGTGGTGGGGTGTATGACGTCGACAACAACGAATGATCCTTCCCACAGGTGAAAGAACTTGGCCGCCGTCCCTAAGGGCGGTACTGGTCGGAAACGCCAAACCAGATCACCTAGTTGGTAGGGGTTGCCGTGGACCTGACGGTCAAAGTATGTTTTCCGTCGTTCGGCGGCCGCTCCTAGGTGGTTACGTGCGAGGGTGTAGGTGGAGCGTAGCAAATCCTGCAGTTGCCATACGTAGCTATCTGGTGCGTATTCGTTTGCGGCGGGTTGTGGGAACCGTGAATCTGCGGGAAGGCGAAATTGACGTCCTGTTAGCATAAAGAAAGGTGGGTAGCCAGTTGACATGTGTGTGTTAGCACGGTACGCCATCATGGCACACGGTAGACGTTTATCCCAGTCGTGGGGATGATGGTCTTCCGCGAACGCCTTCAACAGTTGATTCAGTGCACGGTTAGTCCGTTCCACCAATCCGTTGCCTTCGGGATGTGCTGGAGTGGTGCGGGTCTTGTAGATAGCGAGGAGGTCACAGACCTCTTGCAGCAGTTTGCTGTCGAAGTTAGCCCCGCAGTGGGAACGTATCGACAACGGAACACCGAACCGGCAAATCCAGTTGTTGAAGATTGCGTTGGTGAGCGACACTGCATCTTGTTGTAATAGCGGCACAGCCTCTGCCCATTTGGTGCGTCTTTTGAATTCGGTTTGAAATTTTCGATCTCCGAGGGATTTAACTTTTCCGAGTCTCCTGAGTCCTGGACACCCTGACGGCCTCTCGGAATTAACAAGTCGATTCTTCATAGCAATATCTCGATCCTCACAGAATTTCAACGGGAGTTTCGTCCGGAAAACCTGTCTCCTTCCGATCACATCTGACAGCCGCACCGCCATATTCCCGAAATGCAATAACGGCTGAGTCGTTTTCTACTTACTTCATACCGTTGATCTCGCTTTAAATCGTTTCCATACCGTTAAAAACGTTTTAAGTTTATTGGCTTAATAATGGCAGTCGATTCAGGGTCCTCCAGATATTGGGCAAAATATCCGCCTCGGGACGGATTCGAACCTGGGCGCAATAGTGATGCTGACATTGTCGCTAACACTACGCAACTGACGCGCAGCAGACGGCTTGACAAAAATAATAAAATAACAGAAAGACGCTGTGCAAATGACTATTTCGATAAGTCTTCGGCTGTCAAATCACCTCCAGCCAAACGCGCAAGGAGTCTAATAACTTTATTGAATGTTAAATGCGAGGACGACACCTGCACGTCATGTTTTACACTTCTCCAGAAAATCTTGGAGATGGAGAAGGATATAAGGAATTTAAGATTTGAGATGGAGAAGCTGATGAAACTGCCTCACTATTCACCCGAAAGGAGAAAGATGGCGATGTGGGAAGTTCAGACGATGACCGGAAAAAAGGCCAATACGACTTCAATAACTGTATAAGCCCCTGAAAAAGAAGACAGCCCGTCTACGGACCCCATTGCAACCGAGACCCTATCTCATGTGCGAGCGCAAAATAACCGAAGGGCATCTCAAAAAACCAGGAGACGTCTCAAAGCATCCCAAAAAGACCAAGTATGTCAGAACGTCAGCAGGGGAGAGCAGAGTCCACACAGAAGACAAGAAGATGCCTCACTGACGCAGGAGGTACCTCATGGCCAGGAAGCCTCGATAAACGAGGAACCCTACGGTAGCTATACCATGACAACTGTCGCTGATGGAGAGATTGATGACAACAAAAACTTTCAGGATGCCAACTGTGAGTATAAAAATAAACGACAGCGCCCTATTGATCGCAATAAATGCATCATCGTAAAGGGTATGCCTGAGTCTTCTTCAGACATCCCAAAGAACAGAATAAGCCACGATATAGAATTACTCCAGCAATACCTCAAATCCCTATTACAAGAGAACGAGAACATCACCGTATTGAAAGCTTTCAGGATAGGACCCATTAAGGATTTGGAGGGCGAGTCGGGCCATCACAGACCATTAAAAATTATTCTCGAAAGTGAGGAACAAGCACTATTACTGTTGAATAGGAAACCAGCACTGCGAAATGCCCATCCAACAATTTTTTTCAGCGGGATTTCTCACCGGCTGAACGGGAGAAATGGAGGGAACTCAAGGCCGAACTCCTCAGAAGATACAATTCCGGCGAGAAAAACCTAAGAATAATGAATGGCAAACTCGTAAATGTTCGGAGCTCATTCCTCTGGAAACAACCAATAACACTGAGAAAAATGAACAACCAGATAATAAGGAAAGAACGCCCCTAGCTGACAAACCGATCAGAGAAAACGACGGACAACACACTAACATCCAGTCCAATCAAACAGCAGTAGACTCGGAAGAGGACGATAGACCCGAAAACTCGCGCGAAGTATCCAGCAACTTCGGCCCAAGAATCGTTCGGGAATCTGCCCGGTCTAAGCTCCGCTTTCTTTATGCAAATGCTCAGAGTTTGGTTCATAAGCTAGATGAGCTGAAAGTATGGATAACAGATACGCAGCCGGATGTCATTTCTACCACAGAGACTTGGTTCCAGACCGAAGTCTTGGATGCCGAAATAACACTTGAGGGATACCAACTTTTTCGCCGGGACAGACTGCATAGAAAAGGAGGAGGAATAGCGGTCTACGTCAAGAGAGGAATCATCGCGTCGGAACACAAAACCGATTGCTCCGGCGACTGTGAAGCAATGTGGTTAAAACTGAGGATGCGTGGCGCACCTAATTAGAATTTCCTCACCGTACACAGGCCGCGCAATCAAACTGATGAGGTTGACGAGGCGATGTTTGGGCTAATTAAAGAGGTGTCACGAAACCAAGATGTACTGATAACCGGAGATTTCAACGCACCCATGGTCGACTGGAACAATTTGTTAGTAAATGGCTCGCGAAATTCCTTCGATTCCAGGCTCTTGAAGCTAACGGCTAATCTCTTTCTGGTACAAAACGTCGCGTTCCCACCAGGATCAGAGAGGACCAAAGAGCGAATTGTCTGGATCTCGTCCTTACAAAAGACCCGATTAGCCCTGGCGAAATTAGGTCCATAACACCGCTCGGTAAGAGTGACCATGTCATGCTGTTTTGGGAATACTGCCTATGCAGCCAACAAGCGAATACGACTGAGCCTAGACTGAATTTCTGGCGAGGAGATTTTGCCGCCATGAGAAGGGAATTATCGACAGTGGACTGGGATGACTTTCTTTCCGGACATCCAGACGTTGATTGGAACACCCTCAAAGGAGTTGTAACAGACATCATGCATCGAAACTGTGCGACAAAGAGAGTCAAAATAAAAAATCGTCCTGCCTCGATAACGCGGGATATAAAAAAAGTAGTAAACCGGAAGAACAAACTATGGCGAAGGTATGCAACATCAATACAACCATCCCATTACGAGCAATTTCGACGAAAGCGAAACGAGGTAAGGGGGGCTATCCGCAGGTCGCGGAAGGAGTATGAAATGCGAGTTATGGAACGGGCCGTCGATAAGCCAAAAGTGCTCTTCAGCTACATAGACAGTAGGCTTAAGAACAAGGAGACGGTCGCAGTGTTGAAAGGAGAAAACAATGAGGATATCATCGAAAATGACGCTAAGGCAGAAAATCTAAGCCGGTTTTTCGTATCGGTTTTCACCGATGAAACGGACTTTGACAAGGCTGGATCTCCTGCTGGGACAACCGACGAAATAATAGAGAACATCGACTTCACGGAAGAAGATGTGAGGAAGGAACTTCTAGCGTTTAAGGAGGGCAAGCCTCCGGGCCCAGACCAAATTCCGGCAAAAGTGCCGAAGGAGTTGGCTTGCGAACTCGCCAAACCGCTTTGGTACCTCTTTAGGCCGTCCTTTGACCGAGGCATTCTCCCCTCTGATTGGAAAGTGGCGAACATATACCCCATTCACAAGGGTGGATCCAGAACAAGTGCAAACAATTATCGGTCGATGAGCCTAACGTGCATTTGTTGCAAAGTCATGGAGAGAATAGTCAAAAAATCCATAAAGAAGTTCCTTGAAGGAAATAATTTCTTTGCTAGTTCTCAGCATGGCTTTCGACGAAATCTCTCCTGCCTAACTAATATGCTTCATTCAACGGAACAGTGGTCTCGATCGTTAGACGCAGGAACAAAGGTCGATATCGTTTACATAGATTTCAAGAAAGCCTTTGATAGTGTTCCACACCACCGGTTACTTTACAAGGTCCGAGAGTCAGGGATAAGGGGAAACCTATTAAACTGGGTAAAGGACTTTCTGACTGGTCGATCACAGTCTGTGTGTATTGGTAGTGCGAAGTCAACACCAGCGCCAGTTGTAATGGAGTTCCGCAGGGCTCCGTACTCGGACCAGTACTATTTTTAATTTATGTCAACAACTGTATGAATGGACTGGACAGCAATAGAGTCATGTTTGCTGATGACATCAAGTTATGGCGAGCAATCAACGGCGAACATGATGAACGGGCCCTGCAAGAAGGACTGAACCGCCTATGCGAATGGTCTGACAAATGGCTGCTAAAGTTTAACCTAGAGAAGTGCGTCGCGCTGCGACTCAAAACGACTGGAAGATCTGACGGAGAGGATCACCATTACCAACTCGGTGGAAGGTGCCTTTCAAATGTAACCGAACAAAAAGACCTTGGGATTAACATTCTGTCGACCCTTAAGCCTTCATCTCAGTGTGTTAGGGCGTCCAAAAGAGCAACTAGTGTTCTCTTTGCCATTAAACGATCTTTCGTGGACATAGATAAAGAGTTATTTGGAAAAGTATACGGAGCGTTCATTCGCTCGCATCTGCAATATGGAACCCAAGCGTGGCGCCCGTGGCTAAAAAAGACAATAAGTTGATAGAAAGAGTTCAGAGGAGAGCAACAAAAATTGTAAAAGGCCTCAGGACTTTACCTTACAACTGCTGACTTAGGGAACTTAAACTTTTTCCTCTTGAGTACAGGCAGGTTCGAGGAGATCTCATACAGGCCTATCGGATATTGAGGAACCGGGAATGTGCCCTAAACCCCGACGATTTCTTCACCCTGGCTACAACAACAAACCTGCGTGGGAACTCGCTAAAACTTAGAGGATCCCGATGCCGCCTGGACATTCGCAAATACTGTTTTTCACAGCGAGTCGTCGGTGCCTGGAACGGGCTTCCCGAGGACGTAATAATGGCGGATACCACGGAGACGTTCAAGCAAAGACTCGATGCATATTTACTTGGACACTATCGGTTGTCTGGACAGAACAGCTCTGTGGAGCTAAACCAACGCCTTGCATACTCATACCGCTAATGCGGATGACTGTCATTACATTTTACTGAAATCATCTACAAGTGAATGTTCTCAAGTTTTTGTTCTACATGTTCGTGGAAAATATTCTGTTAAATATGTAGATTACTGGCAACATTTCAGTACCATGTTTATTTAAAGTGAGATATTGCATTACCGTTTACAATAGGGTTTTCAAAGGCATTGCCTATTACTCTTAAAATATACTGACCTATACTGACCTATCACCAGTATGAACCGATGGCCGGTTGTCGTAAAGGGGAGGGGGCCGATGATGTCCAGGCCCAGCCGCTGGAACGGAAAGCTAGTGTGCATGGGTTGAACGGTGCACGTGGGAGTTGTCTAGGTGCCTTGAACTTAGCGCACGTGATGCATGTATTGCAGAAGGTGACGACGTGTTCTCGTAGATGGGGTCACCAAAATCGTTGCCGAGTGACGGCTTCTGTCTTGGCTTGCCCGACGTGGCCTAACCCGTGTAGATCCGTGAGGACCACGTGTACGAGGC